ACTCCATCAATTCTTTTGCCTCACTGAGACTGATTATGAATTGGGATATTTTTCACTGGATCTGCAGATAGTAACCTTGGCCAACCCTCCGTTACAGCTTGATTGGATAATTGCAATTACTTCCTAATTGTCCACTTTCATCCTTGCCCCCAAGTCTAGTTCCTCAAGCCAAAATCATCCTTTAGATGACATAATTCTCCTGTTCAGAAGTCCCTGATGACCTCCCACCACAATGAAAATTAAATCCAAATCCTTTCCCATCACACTGAGAACTAAATCCAAAATCCTTCCCTGGCCTACAAGGTTTCATGTAATCTGATCCCTGGTACCTTCCAAAGCCCTTTCCCTCGCTCAGCTCCAGCCACACTGGCTTCCTTGTTATTCCTCCCAAAGGCAGGCACAGTCTATCTCAAGGCCTTTTCTCATATTAATCCCTCTGCCTAGAAGACCCTTCCTCCTTACAATCTCATAGTTATTTCTCCATTTCATACAGGTCTTTCATAAAATGCTACCCACTCAAAGAGTTCTCTGACCATCCTATTGAAGATAGCATCCTTGTCACTCCTTATTCCTTACACGGAATTATTTTTTATCAGTGTACTTATTACGACCTGACATGATGTAGTATGTTGGTTACTGTCTGTTTCTCCTGAGTAATCTAACTTCTAGTTAAAAACCCGTGTTAATTTTTTAAGTTCTGACCCTAGGCAATTACAAAAGTTCTACCTGGCAGGCTTCATGGGGGAAAACTGTCCTCCCCACACCAGATTTAGTGCACAGGTCATGCACAGCAGTCTCTAATGGGAGTTGTAGTCAAAACTCAAGATCTGTGGCTAGTCATGCTTATTCACATATTTATATTCATAGCCCAGGCACCTTTATTCCTAGATTTCTTTATCTGAAGCCTCAAGTAGAGGTCTGCTTCAGGTGCCTCTGCTGAGGGCTCCTTATATTGGGGAGGAGGGAGAGCCTTGAAGAGACTTTCTTCATGATGACTCATTATGTCCACCCCCGACCCTTCCCCTCATCTTTCTTCCCTACGCCTGCCCCAGGGTCCATACACTGCTGGAGCCTTTTGCTCTGGGCTCCCTCAACAATGAGAAGCACCCCCTCCATCTATGCTGATCCATCGGATCCTTGGTTGGCATGCTGTACACAGAGAGAAAGAAGTAATAATGTGGAAGAACAGATTAATAAGAGTCATGAACAGTTAGTCTGAGAAGCTCTAGAGTTTCTTGAGAAGAGAATGGAGGGAATGATAGATAAACAATAGTTGAAGAGATCAGATTATAAATATTCATATTGAGCAGGACATGGGTCCTCAGATCAAAAGTGCATTCATTCTAAGTACCAAGCAAGATAAATGAAAATAAATCCACACCTAGAAAAAGTCTCTGTTCCCACTTTCATTCTTGTTTTCAAACAACCCTATACTTACCCTGTTCAGTGACTATCTTCCCCTAAATTATCATGACTGACAGCCCATACTCTTTGGAACTTACTGAGCACACTACTAGAATGATTAATTACATTGGGGGTAAGATACTCCCTACTGGGTAGCATAATGTATTTCAAAAGACCCTGAAACAGTAGCTTACCATGAAAGAGTGACTCCAATATGAGAACTATTAGGCTTCATGACAATTCTTTGGGAATTTTGGAATTAAGTCTGAATTATCTGTTCACCTCCAGGTGGTAATTTTAGTGACCACTATCAACAGTAGCAGGAAACAGAAGTAAACGTAACCATATAAACATAATTCCCATGCAGTCATCCATTAGGAACCTGCAAGAATCTGGGATTGGGGGAACAGAGGACCTTTCCATATGATGTGGGATGAGGGTTTGAGCTAATTTTATGTAAATTTTAAAGTGAATAAAGATTTTCCGCCATACTTCGGGTACATTCCTTGAACCTGAGGTATTGTTCAAGAGAAATGGGAAGCACTATGACCCAGAGAACCCCCAGCCAGTAAGAGAGCCACCATCAAAAGTCAAACTGGGAAGAAATTTCCTTCTGACCTGTGAACTAGTGATTTTCCAAATACCACTCTGGCTCCAGCGTAAAGTTACAGAGGTGCTGGGCTAGCAGCAAACAGAACTTGACAGTTAAAGGTGCCTTGCAAGTTGCACTTAGAAATTCCTTTATCTTTATAAATACAAAGCACAAGTTGTAACCTAATTCTGCAAAACCCTCCTGCCCTTTTCAGTCTTAAACTCTCATCTAGTTTTCACTGCAAGGGCAGGGGCAGCAACTCTAATGTCTAATTTCCCTGACTAGGGGAGGACACAGAACATATGGGAGAGAGGAAAAACAGAATTATTTTGCTGCACTGTTTTCCCTCTGCCATCAAATAAATTATTCAACCCTACATTTTTGCTGTGGATTAACCTGGCCAATTGCATCTCCTTTCTTCCCTTGGATGCCTGCCTGTGGCCGGTTCAGTGCTCACCAGCCCAGTACACAGAGATGCATCCTGAGAAGAAAGATAAAATTGAAGTTGACTTTTTTTTCTTTCTTTAAAAAATAATGGTATCTGGGTTTTTTTGTTGTTGTTGTTTTGTTTTGTTTTTCTTGTTGCTGTTTTTGATAGCATATGAAATATTGGCAATGTGATATTCTGATCTGGTGTCACCATTTCCTATCTCAGCATTGAAATTTATACCGCCAAATATATAATCACTGATTCTTTTACGGCCATAAAACTTAAGCAGTTACCATTTGGGGAGGTTACTTTTAGGGTTTCAATATTGGTAATTCTCTTTTCTGAGACTAAGAAGTATCCAAGCAGTATACTTTGAAACTTCAAAAGCAAGGCAAGGGCAAAAGTGACATCTGGACTCAGTTTTGATAGGGCTTCTCAGCTTTATTCTCACTTTCAGTGTGCAAAGTCAGAAAGTTTGGGGGGAAATGGTATCAAACTTTTCTAAAAATTTGTTTCTAGGCTCTTTTTCTTCATTTTTTCCCAGGTCGTAAGAGCTAAGCTGGTCACTGCAATGAGAAGTTTGGGGCCCAAGCATTAGGGACAGATGAGGTGTTGGCTGCAAGGAAGGTGATGGATGTGCTCCTGAGGAGCTTGTGAACTTGGCTGAGGGATAAGTGACATTATCCACCAAAGTTGTTTGGGTCTTCACGGAACAAATCCTACCACTTATGAATAGTTCATGGGAAAGAGTTGGAAGAAGCAGTATAATGTCAAGGTTAAGTGAGCAGATGCTGAATCTATACGTGTTGGGTGAATCCAAGCCTTGCCACTCCTTACCTATGTTCATCTTAGACAAATTACTTAACCTCTCTGGGCTTTAGCTTCCACATCTATACGCAAGTTACTGTGATGTTTAAATAAATTATCATTTATAAAACTCTTAGAACAGCACCTGGCACAAAGTAACTGCTACATCTAAGTATTTGTCAAGTAAATAGAATAAGAAGTGGATGGGAAGGGCTTTCTGCTGGATAATGTTCTCCAGTGCCTTGTCTTATGCCCTTCCTCACAGTTAGCAGGCCCTGGGAAGTAGAAGGTTCTGTTCTGACCTATAGTACTGGAGTGGTCAGTTAGCACATATATAGACCTCACACCCATGGACTCAACAGTTTCCAAGGGGCTAAGCAGAACACAGAAATCCCAAAAGGCCCATCCCAGTAAGCATCATTCTGAGGGAGCATCTCTCCCTAGAGTCTTAACTCCTTGCCACACACAGCAGGCAGGAGGACATCGGCCAAGGGCCTGGTACAGAGCCGTCAGGAGGATGTGAACTCATGGGCAGGCCAGTTAGTTAAGGGCAGCTGCCTGCTGCTGCGGCCAAGCTCAGGCTCAGCTCACCACCCTCCCTCCACCCCCGCCACTGTGTGCCCCACATCAAGACTGGGATGGCTTCTCTCTCAGTACAGAGGGTGGGGAAGATGTGCCACAAGAAGGGGCAACGGGAGAGGAGAAACTGAAGTCGCCCAGTCACAGGATGTGTGGCAGGAACCTCAGCCAACCCCAGGTTATAGATGAAGAAACTGAAACTCAGAGAGGAGCAGCAAACAGGGAAGATCTGAGTCTTGTGAGGCCGACTCTTCTAAAACTTCTTCTTTGAGCGGGGGAGGGGTGGAGTGCTCTTGAAGAGACAGAATATAGATTTCAAATACAAAATGCCCATGGCCACTACACTGCCAGCCAACAGAAGGAGAACATGATGGAGGGAAAAGTCGAAGTGGAAAGAGACAGTGGTCTTAACTATTGTGGTTAAAATACCATACTTATGAAGATTTTACCAAAGAATAAGACATGTGACCACACTGCTAGGGCCCCTAACAGACGCTTGGAGGGGACTTCGGGAAAGGCTTGTATAACTGAGAAACCCTGAAGATCAGCTTCATTCACTTCATGGTGACTCAGTTGCTGTTAACTAGCTGAAGGTCACTGAAGTCGGGAGTAGCAGAGCTGGGCTTCTGGGTCCCGCCAGTAAGCAGGGGCCACTGTGATCTATGGGCATCAACTGGTAGAGCAGGCTGTGGAGGAGGAGAGGGAAGGCAGGGAACATGGAAACCAATATTCCCTAATAGAAGGCTTTTAGAAGCCCATTGGCTGTCTTCTAAAAGCCTGAGAATGCCAGGAATGGGAATAGAGAAGACCAGAAGGAAATATGTATGGAGCAAAAGAGTTAAGCCTTGGGGGTGTCAGAGCAGGGGTCTTTCCCTAGTTCCCTGGGTGCTGCTGGATAGGCCAGTCTACCCTACTTTGTGCATCCAGTACCATGGGAGGAAGATGGCAGAGGGGGAGGATGTACCGGGGTGGGGGGCACCATCCCAGGCTAGACCTCCTATAACATGATGCCTCTTTCTTCTCCAGGAAAGTTTTTTTTCCTTTTTCTTTTTTTTCCCCATGTGGTATTATGCAACACTGGATAGAAAGAAGTAAAACCCACCAAGTCTCAGGCCCAGTCTTGCAGTGGCCAGTTCATCAGAAGACATAGTAGGATTCTAGGACTTTAAAAAGCCAAAAGGTTCTTACCATAGAGCAGGAGGGCCATCACAAGGAGAGTGTTACTCAGTCCCATAGTGCTAGAATTAAAAAAGAAAAGATAGAACTTGATTAGAAAATGCCTAAAAACCAAAACATGACAAGTGGAGCTTGGGGTTCTCTTGGGCCCATGAGTTTAGCAGAGACCATGCTATGTGTTCATGAAGGCCATTTCCTTTTCCTTCTAGCTCCACAGATAAGCCCTACATCCCAGCCTCCCTGAAGTTCGATGGGTCATGTGATTGGGTTCTGGCCAATGGAATTGTGGGCAGAAAAGACAGATGTTACTTCCAGACCTGCTACTAAAGCATCTCTCTCTTTCCTCCTTCTCCTGCCTTCTTGATGCAGAGAATTCAGAGAGTCCAAGGTCCTAGAAGATGGCAAAGCCTCACTATTAAAGGAAGCTGGATCAGTGAACAAATTAATAAAGCAGCTCTTTCCACCCTAAAGTAATCCATACTGGACTGTGACATGAGCAAAACATAAACTTCAATTGTGTCAAGCTAATGAAACTTGGGGGATTGTTTATTGGAATATCTAGCATTACTTACCTTGACGAAGACAATGGCTATGATGGGACAAATGAAGTGTATTTATTTTAGAAATTGACTTGCCTTTGGTTTCCCTGTGATTCTCAAACTTTACTGTACATAAAAATGATCTGGAAGATCATGTTAAAGCCGTTATCTGGGCCTTGTCCACGGAGATTCTGATTTAGTAGGCTCCGTGAAAGCCACATCAAGAAACTCACAGGTGATACTGTGCTGCTGGCCTAAGGACCCCACTTTGAGAACATGATGAGCCAAGGAAAACAGCACACATTGCTTTATAACTTCTAACCTCTCTTTCTTCCTCTCCCTCCCTCCTTTCCTCTTCACTCACCCACTTATTCCAACTTAGACCAAAAAGGCTGCAGAGCGGCTTACAGTATAGCACAGAATAGTGGAGAATGACCAAAACTAGAAATAGCTAAAAAGCCAACCAAATGCAAGTATATAAAATGGAGCCTGGTACAAGTCCAGTGCTAAATGTTTACCATTTAGAAATCTGCCTACCCTGTATGGTTCAGGTCACAAGTTTGGCCTATATCCTTTTAACAGCTGATGTGAAAATGAAAACCTAATCAGTAAATTTACAGATCTGTCCATTAGGATAAAACAAACCAATGTTCAGGAGAAGATGCACAACTATTTGTGATCCAATAGCAGAAATTTCAACCTTGGGGGTGGTGTGTCTAGAAGCCATTCCTGGTCCCTTTGGGTTATGCTAGACACCCTTCCTCTCTGCTTTCATAGCACTCAGCATGGGGCTTTGGGCTAAAATTGTCTGTTAAGTTTCTTCCCTTCTAGACTATAACCTATCTTTTTAGTTAAAAAATTTTGATTAGATCATACTTGCACATAGTATTAAATTTAAAAAGTACAAGGGATAAATAGTGGAAACCAAGTCTTTCTCCTAACCCTGTCTGCTAGCTATCAAGTTTTCTCCCACAGACATGACTGGAGAGACCACTGTTACCTGTTAACAGCTTCTTGCCTCTACTTGCAGTTATTTTAGGCAAAACAAAATGAAAACATAGACCCATATTCTTTTTTCATTTTATTTTTAAACACAAACGGTAGCACTTTATACACAATTTTGCACACTGGCCACTACTTTAGAGATTCTGTGTTAACTACAGGGTATCTTCATTCTAACAGTTGCATATTCTGTTATATTCTATTGAGTGACAATAATTTATTTTACCAGCCTCTATCAAGGGACATTTAGGTGTTTGCAATATTCTGCTGCAATGAAAAACCTTGATCATATGCCAAAACACGTATGTGGGAGTAAGCTATCTTCCTTGAAGTAGAAATGGTTTGACCAAAGGGTCAAAGGGTAAATGTAATTTTAATCTTCAAAGACACTGAAAAATTGTTCTCCCCTAAAATTAAATATTTATGCTCCCCCACAACAAAAAAACAAGCATACCTATTTTCACAGAGCATGTTTTCTATCCTGTGATCTTTACCAATAGGGAGAGTTAAAATGACATCTCATTGTCATTTTTAAAAATTATTTTTCATTGTGGTAAAATGCACGTAATATAAAATTTATCATCTTACTCATTTTTTATGTGTACAGTGGTGTTAAGCACAATGTTGTGCAACCATCACCACTATCCATCTCTAGAACTCTTCATCTTGCAAAACTGAAACTCCTTACTTTACTAAACACTGACTCCCTCTTCTCTCCTCCACCCAGGCCCTGGAAACCACCATTCCATCATCTGTCTCCATGAATTTAACTACTCTAGCTACCTAACTGGAATCGTACAGTGTTTGTCTTTTTGTGATTGGCTAATTTCACTTAGCATAATTTATTTGAGGTTCATCCGTATTGTAGCGTCTGTCAAAATTTCCTTCATTTTTAAAGCTGAATAATATCTCCACTGCATGTATACCCCATTTTGTATATCCATTCATCTGTTGATGGATATTTGAGTTGCTTCCACCTTTTGGCTATTGTGAATAATGCTGTTGTGAACACGGATGTACAAATATCTCTTTGAGGCCTTGCTTTCATTTCTTTTGGGCGTATAGTCAGAAGTGGAATTACTGGATCATATGGCAATTCTATTTTTAATTTTTGAGGAACTGACATTCTGTTTTCCATAGCAGCTGCATAATGTTATATTCCCATTAACAGTGCAGAATTGCCCTGTTGCGATTTCTCCACATTTTTGTCAACACCTGTTATTTTTGTTTCCTTATGGTATCCATCCTAATGGATGTGAGGTGGTGCATACTGTAATTTTAAAATTAATTTCTTTTATTATGACTTTGAACATCTTTTCAAATGTATTCAAGATAACACTTCTTTCTTTCTTTCTTTCTTTCTTTCTTTCTTTTTTAGAGAGAGGGAGAGAGAGATGGGGGGAGTGGCAGAGGGAGAGGGTGAGAGAGAATCCCAGGTGGGCTCCAAGCCCAGGGTGGAGCTGGATGCAGGCTTGATCTCACAACCCTGAGATCATGACCCAAGATGAAATCAAAAGCTGGACGCCCAACTGACTGAGCCACCCATGCCCCAAAAGATAACATTTCTTGTTCCATGTACTGTGCATACATTTCTTCTACCTACTTTTAATTAGAGTCTTTGGGCTTTTTATAAATTTTTCTTAACTTGCAGGAGTACTTTAATATTTAAAAAAAATAGTGTTAATTACTAACTAGTTAGAAAGGTAGTGCTTTGTGACGATGAGTTACACATATATTCAGTTACTAAAGGACACAGTGGGTATTCAGTATATGCACCTCACACTTGCTCCTGATTACTCTCTTTTCCCCCTCCCAACAATTTCAGTAGGTTACAGAGCTTGGGCATTAACTCTTGGGCCAAAGCTGACACCACTCAATGGTAGAGCCTGGAAAGAGATTTCTCTATTTGATTCCTATGGACTTCCTCATACTAAATCACCACCAGCATCCTGTTTGTCATAGAATCTGAGGACTAGGAATCCTTTAAATCTGAACTCCCATCTAATATAGGAATCTCCCACTGTTTACAAATCAAAAATCAACATGGCTGACCCAACCAAAGATTTGTTTTTCCTTGGGGCAATGTATTGAACAGGGACACAAAATCAAATTATATTTCACTATAAATTTAACAAATACCTTTGATTCAAATTATTACATGATTCAGTATGGCCCACGGTATTTTGGACAAATTATCTCTATAATTCATGCACTGGGGAGAAGCACTGTGTATGACAAGGAAATCAATACCATTTTAACTTCTCTATTTGGAAATTCTCTCTTCCCCTGAGCAAGAAACGGCCTCTCCTTAACTTCCTCTCATTAATACTGGTGTCATTCTCTGGAGCTATGCAGAGAAACCTTAATACACTTCTGGCAAAGCCCTTTAAGAATTTGGGGACAGAGATCACATCCCTCCTCAAAATCCTGGCCCAGCAGAGAGTCTTTCTAATAAACTTTACTAACATTAATTTGAAGATTGGATCCTGTCCTGGATAACACTTTGGATACTTCATTTGTCAGAGACCTTAATAAAATACAGTGCTAAAATGCTTGAGATTGACATGTTCCTCTACACGCCATGTGAAGAACTTCTCTCAACTCTAGCCATGGAATATGTGTGAGGATGGGGGCTTAGGTTAGGGAACCAGTTTCTTCAATGTTGTTGTTTCTGAAGAAGAGCAGAAATGTCACTGTTTCCTCAGGAATGAACTCTCAACCACAACCACGAGTCATTGCTTTCTCCAGAGGGCCTGAGAAGTAGAAACACTGGCTTTTGAAGGGAGGGAGCAAAAAGGGGAATGGGAGAGGAAAGAACCTAAGAATTTACGGGGGGGATTCTCTGAGAAGAGATTTCTGTCAGCTGTGTTCAGAATAAGGTCTGTAGGTTGGTGAACTAGACAATAATTTAAAGCAAGTAGCCTCCATGTAGCTGAATGTTCACCACAGAAACCAAAGAGCTCCTACTGTACAGCACTTTTCCTTACTATATATATGCCTGACCCATCCTGGACCGTGAGTTAGAGGCAGCTAAATGACTAGTTACAGTCATTCCTCATAACAAAGTGGGATTACTTACCCCCTCCCCACATTGCAGATGAATAAATGGAGCCTCAGAGAGGTTAGGGAACTTGCCCTAGCCACCCAGTAGTAAGTGATAGAGTTGAGGTTTAAACCCACACAGCTTCATTGTGTTCTTTTTAATACTGGTATAGTTCCTTTAAAAGTTCCAGCCAGTTTCAGTGGGGCTGTGGGAGCAAGGAGAGAGGATTCTGATTCTACCTACTCTTAGTGTACTGGGGGAGCAGTACATTCCAAAGGCCAGGTGTGAGGGTAGCTCCTGGGATCAGAGTGCACATTCATGGGAGACAGGCTGTGATGGGGGCAGGAAGACCCAAAGTGTCCCTCCCTATCAGGAGAGTTTCTATCCTAAGCTTCCATTCATTCCACAAATATTACTTGAGCACCCTTTACGTGTCAGGCAGAGAATGCATCTCTCCACTCCAGCCCTGGACAGGTTA